AGGGACCTTAAAAACCATCTCATTCCATGGGCAGGGACACCTTCCACTAGCCCAGGTTGCTCCATCCTGGCCTTGGACACTTCCAGGGATCCATGGGCAGCCACAGCTTCTCTGCCCAACCTGAACCAGGGCCTCCCCACCCTCCCAGCCAGGAATTCCTTCCCAATATCCCATCTATCCCTGCCCTCTGGCAGTGGGAAGCCATTCCCTGTGTCCTGTCCCTCCATCCCTTATCCCCAGTCCCTCTCCAGCTCTCCTGGTGCTCCTGTAGGTTCTAAAAGCTCTCCCTGGAATCTTCTCTCCTCCAGGCTGAACACCCCAGCTCTCTCATTAGCAGTTCTTCAGTTAATTTTACATTAGTGCCACAAATATTATGTCCGATATTAGGAATTATTTGAGTTTGGAGAGAGGTTTGTCCCATCCCCCTTGTGGCAAATAATTTGGCTTCTATTTCCCTAAAATCCCAGGAAGTTCCAGCACAAGTAGGAGGATTCATGCTGTGACAAATGATCTGTAAATCTGATTATTGCAGCTAAACAAGAGGTGTTACTTCAGTTGGTTTCTTGCTGGATTCCAGAAGAAAAGAAATTTCTGCAGAAATTTGCCCCTGGGTTGGTGATAGTGATTTTCCTTGGGGAGATGTGGAATTCAAGTTGTTTTTAATGAGTTCAGAGCATTTGTAGATGAAAGAATGGAGCCTTAAATGACTTTATTGTTGCACTTAAATGCTTCAGGTGAAGTTAGGTCTTAGTGGACTGAGAGGTAACTGGACCCATTTTTGTCCCAAACTGTTCTCTTGACGTTTAATCTCAATTTTCTTTCCTGTTGAAGCACAAACTGAATGGAAAGCATGTCCTGGTATGGAATCATCCCAGTTTGTTGGTCAGAATTTCTGTCAGTCACAGGCTGGAGTTTTTGGATTTAAAACACCAACTGTCGCTGCAACATCGCTCGGGTTCAAATGACTTTTCCTTTCCTCCAAATATTTTGGGGCCAAGTCATTTGCCACGAACTCCTTTGCAGTGTGTGAGCCCTGATTTCCAACCCAGGGCAATTCTGGGGATGTTTTTGGCCGGTCAGGGGTGGCCAGATTTGCTTCCTGGCTTCGTATTTTATGTTAATTAAATGATAAAGAAAAAAAAAGTAAAGCTCTTAATTATGAATTTTTATCAGTCCACAGAGCTATTTGTGTTCATCTGGAAAAGCAGGTGGATTGGTTTGATCCTTCAAATGGTGAAAAAGCAGGAGGGGGGGGGCTGTGCTTTCCCAGGTATTTATTCAGATCAGATAAACACAAGCTTTGTAATATTCTTTGGGATTAACATAATTAATTATCTGATTTAACTACTTAAGCGTACTCTGTTATTCCTAAAAATATAAAATATCCTTGAAAGATGCGTGTGGCTTGGGAATAGTGGCTGGAAAGCTGGAAGAGGAGCTGGAGGGTGCTGGTTGGTGGTGGCTGAATGTGAGTGCAGCTGGAGGTTTAGGTTGGATATTTGGAAAATTCCTTCCTGGAAAGGGTTGTCCAGCCCTGGCACAGCTGCTCAGGGCAGTGGTGGAGTCCCCATTCCTGGAGGGATTTCAAATCCCTGTGGATGTGGCACTTGGGGACACGGGTCAGTGGTGGCCTTGGCAGTGCTGGGGGATGGTTGGACTGGATGATCTCAGAGGGCTTTTCCAACCCCGGTAATTTTGGGATTCTTTGTCGTGGAAGTGGTGATTTGACTTGGCAGCTGGCTGAGGTTCTGCCCCATTCCTGGAGAAGTTTCTCCTCATTCCCAGCGGGAGCCACACGGAGCTTCCCTGCAGTTCCTCTGCCTCACCTTTTGGGACAAAACAAGAGGTTTTTGAGGATGGAGAAACAAATCTTTTCCCATCATTGAAACTTAATTAAAAATCCCTCACTGCTAAAGGAATTGCTGCCATGTTTTTCCTGGATCCAGGACCAACAAGAGCCATTTCCAACCCGGCTCTGACTGTAACTGGATGAATGAAGTCCTGGGAGCACATTCCATGAGGGGAAATGAGGCTCTGAGCAAACAAAGCATGAACAGTGATGAGCCCAAATTGCCCTGGATGCTCGTTGTCAGCTCTGATGGCGTTTGCAGCTCTGGGAGAAGGGAATTGGGGAAATTCCCTTTCATTTTAATCAAAGCTGGGCTTTCATTTTCATCTGTGTGTGAGGCCCAGAGCTCAGCTGGGCTTCGCAGGAGGAGAATTCCAACAGGCAGGGAAAACCACCATGGGAAAGCATTTGTGGGGCTTGGGGTGAAATAAACCAAATTTTCCTTTTTTTCTTTTTTCTTTCCCCCCTTTTTCCCCCCCTTTTTTCCTCTTTCCCCTTTTTTCCTTTATTGTCCTTTTTCCTTTTTTCCCTCCTTTCCTCTTTTTTCTCCCTTTTTTCCTTTTTTCTTTTTTTTTCTTTTTTTCCCCTTTTTTCCTTTTTTCTTTTTTCTCCTTTTCCCCTTTTTTCTTTTTTTCCCTTTTTTCCTTTTTTCTTTTTTCTCCTTTTCCCCTTTTTCTTTTTTTCCCTTTTTCTCCCCTTTCCCCCCTTTTTTCCTTTATTCCTCTTTCCCCCCTTTTTCCTTTTTTTCTGTTTTTTTTCTTTTTTCTCTTTTTTCCTTTTTTCCCTTTTTCCTTTCTTTCCTCTTTTTTCTCCCTTTTTTCCATTTTTTCCTTTTTACTTTTTTCCCTTTTTCCCTTTCTTTCCTCCTTCCCTCCTTTTTTTCCTTTTTTTTTCTGTTTTTTCCCTTTTTTCCCTTCTTTCCTCTTTTTTCTCCCTTTTTTCCTTTTTTCCTTTTTCCTTTTTTCCTTTTTTCCTTTTTATTTCCTTTTTCCTTTTTTCCCCTTTTTATTTCCTTTTTTCTTTTTTCCCTTCTTTTTCCTTCATTTCCTTCTTTTCCTTCTTTTTCCTTTTTTCCCTTTTTCCCTTTTTTCCTTTCCTTTTTTCCCTTTTTCCCTTTTTTCTTTTTTCTTTTTTTCTTTTTTCTTTTTTCTTTTTCTTTTTCTTTTTCTTTTTTCTTTTTTCTTTTTCTTTTTTCTTTTTTCTTTTTTCCTTTTTTTATTTTAGCTTTCTCTCCCTTTTTTCTTTTCTTTTTCCTTTTTTATCTTTTTTTTCCCCTTTTTTGTGAGGTGTTTTTGTCATTTTTTTTCTGGTTTTTTTTGTGGTTTTTGATTGATTGGTTTAATTTGTGTTTTTTGTGGTTTTGCCTTTTTTGTTTGTTTCGGTTTTGCTTGTTTTTTATTTTATTTTGGGGTTTTTTTGTTGTTTTTTTCTGTTTTGTTTTCTTTGTTCCCTGCAATTATATTATCCAAAAACATGACAAGCCCTTCTCTGGTAACGCTCTCATTAATTTTTCATAGTATTTCTACAATTTTAAAATTAACAAATACTTGTTTCTTCTTCTTATGGGAGCAAGTTTTGATTTCCACCTTGGTCCTGCTGATCATCCACAGAGAACTGACCCGTTGATGAGTCCTTTGTCCTTTTAATTTTCCATCTCTCCAAAAGGATTTTTAAATTTAAGCTGCACAAAAAAGGGCTTTATTTCGAGATGCCTCTTTTGCATCCTGGCTGTTCACAGAAATAACAACAAGAGTTATTATTTTTATCCTGGCTTTGTATTTTGGGCTGTGATATTTTAGTGAGGACGATCTTTGCCTTAAAGACAATTCCAGAGGAGTTATGTGTGCACAGATTAAACCACTGGCCGTGCACTGATTTTTTTTTTTTAACTGAAAAGTGAAATAACACTCAGTGTCTTTTTATAATCAGGAAAGCATTGGGAAGAACATTATAAAGGAAAAAAAAATCAGCGAGAAACTGTGTTTTCTTGTGTTCTGGAGGCAGGAATATTGAGGTCAGAGCATCTGGTGTGCAGGTTTGGAGTTCACTTTCCAGCCCCACAGTGGTTGTGCCCTGCAAGGGAATTTTCAACTTCGGAGTATTTCAATATATTTAATTAAAAAAAAACCTCTTTGGGGCAGCTTTTCTACCAAGTTACAATCGATACTTAAAGTGAATATGACCAAAAAAATTGTTCCAGAGTGACAGAAATCTAAGCATTGGCTCATTTTGCGCATATTCCTGATTTTTGGGATGTGGCTGTTGCTGGGAGGAGGGATTTGTGTTCGTGTTCGCGAGGCCAGAAATGCTCTTTATCAATTTAAAAGCCCAACAAGTGAGGCTGGAAGTGAATTTAATCTCCCCGAAAAGCTTTTGTCGGTGCAGATGTCCCTTGAATCCCCGAAATAAATGCTCTTACTTCCCGAAAGAGTTAAATATCCTGTCCTGGGGTGAGATGGATAGTCAGAGGAAATAGGAGGTACCTGGAAAGAACTTCTGCTCCCGAATATTGCCAAGCTGCCTTTCCCTCCGCTTTGTTATCCTTCCCCAGGCTCCCTAATCTTTCCCCTTTGCCTCCAACCACCTCCCAGTTTCCTGTTTGCCTCTTCCCCTCTGGTTTTCCTCCCGAGTATTCCGGGTTTTTCCCTGGAGCTCGGGGAAGGATGAATGCCATCGCGGTGTTCACGGTGGCCATTCTCTTCTGTGTCTCGTGCCTCTTTGCAGCTCTGGGTGTAAGTTCCTTAGCCAAGGGAGGTTTTTCCTCTCTGGAATATTGCTGGAAGCGTAAATGTTGAATTTTCGGAGTTGCTGTGTGGGCAATAATTAAAGGTTTTCATATTTAATTAAGATTATTCGCGGCTCCGCCTCCTAATTTTTCGAACTGATGTTTTCTCCGGAGAATTTTCCTTGGAACATTGCTGGGAGAATGTTGCTTGTCCAGCTTCGTTTTTGGGATATATGTTTTCAAAACAATGTGAATTTGTCATTTGTTTTCCTTTTTCCCCTCAGAATATTTCAGTTCTTTTTCAAAAACCGGTGAATCGACTTAACCGAAGATACATTTTATTGTAAAATTTTATCCTTTTTAATATCTTGAAATAGGAGTTTTCTTTTCAGTGAGTAACAGAGGACATTTGCTTTTCTCTTGCAGATTGCATTCTCTCAGCACAGCAACTTTATGGACCTGGTGCAGTTCTTTGTGACATTTTTCAGGTACTTTTCATTTAAGACACTTAAAATGTTTCTTTGGGTTTTGATTTTCAGTGTTCGGTTTTGGTTTTTACCTTAAGCATCCTGCTGCAGCACAGCCTAAAAAAAAAATGGGAAAATCTGCTTTATTTGAAGTATTTGATTAGGAAATGGGAGAAGGAAATTAATCTTTGTCCTGGGCGTGCAGGGAAAGGGGATTTTGGGGGCTGGGAGAGGCTTTTGGAAGGGGAGAAGTTCCTTTTCAAATGGTTTGGAAAACGTTGTGTGACTTCCCCCATGGAAGAGCTGACGTGTGATGTGCTGCAGAGATTCACACCTTGTCCCACACCCAGCAGGAATTAAGGATGTGGATTTTGCAGGGAGTTATCCTGGAGTAAATTCCTCCTCTTTCGGTACCGCCTTTGGATTTCAAACCGAACCCATAAATATGTCAAGTTAAACACAACCACGTGTTCCAGCACAAAAGGAGCCAAATCCTTCTGTCCTTCAGGCACTGCTTGAAGTTCCTGTCTGGGTGGGAAGTGCCCTGAGGATTCCCTTGGAGCTGGAACCAACAGGAGCCATTTCAATATTTGTTTTCCATCCTCCAAGACCCCCAGCCCTGACAATGCCTCCCAAAGCACAGCAGGTCCTCTTTTCAAGGCCTCCAACCCAACGTGTCAGCTCTAATTTTGGGAGCTGTTAATCCTCCAGGAGTGTAAACCAACCCCTGATGGATGAGGAGCCCTTCAGGAGGGATATCCATGGAGTGAACACCACTCCAGGTCTTACAACCTGTTCCTGAATAGGGATTGTTATGCCTGGTGTAAAATGAGCAGTGGGAATAATCCCTCACTTCAGATTTCATGCTAAATTTAATTAAAGCAAGGAGCTCCAGATGGGTCCTTCACACAAGAGGTTTATATCATTTTTTTTTTAATTTTTTTTTTCATATGGAGCTTCCAGAGAGTGGAATCTGCTTTAGTGCAGTCCCTGGGAACAGCAGGTTGGAGCCACCACCTTCCTGCTGTTTGTAAGCAGTGAGTGGTTGCTCCTGGCACACACACTGGGTGTTTGTTTTGCTCAATTCAGCACAGTCATCTTCCCTAAAAAATTTTTGTGGCAGCATAATTAGTTATAAGGAGATCATAATCAATTATAATCAACAATCAGGATTACTGACTATAAGGAAAATAGGGAAGCAGTTGGTTCTTTAGTTCCTTTTTGGTGCCATAAAATCAGTCTGCAATTAAAACTGCCCTTTAGTTCTGTACAGACCCAGATCCAGCTGAGGGTTTGAACTCCTCCACAGGAGTGATTCCTCCAGATTCATTATTGGAAGAGAATCCCAGAGAAGCTGTGGCTACCCCTGGAAGTGTTCAAGGCCAGGCTGGAGGAACCTGGGCTAGTGGAAGGTGTTCCATGGCAGGGAGGTTGAACTAAATGGGCTTTAAGGTCCTTCCCAACCCAAACCATTCCATGATTCTCTGACTTCAGCACTGAGACATCTCCACAGCTCCTAAAGACTCCTACAGTGCCTGCTTCTTTATAAAGTTAAGCAGGATCTCAGGGAGGTTTGTTTGGCCTCTCTCATTTTAAGAGCTACACATCCCAAATCACTTCCTCCGTGTTTCTTCTAAATATCCTGACATGATTACCCTGGAACAGCCTGACCCTTTTTCTGCAAACACAAATCATTCAGACAAGCATTGTAATGGCTCTTTTATTTCCCTTTTCCAGAGGGACTGGATTTTGCAGTAAAAATCCAATGCTCCCCTGGTAACTCAAAAGCACATTTAGGTGCTGTTTTGTTAAAGAACCACAGAATGCCTCGAGTTTGGAGGGATCCACGAGGATCAGCAGGTGCAGCTCCCTGCTCCTCCCAGGAACGTGCATTACCCAGGATTGGGGATCTGAGACCTTCAGCTTTCCCCTTCTTTCAGCACTGTCCACACCCCCTGGAAAGAGTATTTCTCTCCAGGCCCAGCTGAGATTTGGATTGGATGGATTTTCACTCATCCCACACTTGAATGATGGACTAGAAAAATTTTTCCGTGCGTTTGTCTTGGGACTCACAGAATCCCAGAATGGTTTGGGTTGCAAAGGTCCTTAAAGACCATCTCATTCCACCCCCTGCCATGGGCAGGGGCACCTTCCACTAGCCCAGGTTGCTCCATCCCTGGAAGTGTCCAAGGCCAGGTTGGAGCAACCTGGAATAGTGGAAGGTGTCCCTGCCCCATGGCAGGGGGTGGAACTGGATGGGCTTTAATGTCCCTTCCAACCTAAATCATTCCATGATTCCAATCCTAGTCTGAAGCAGGGGATAAGGATATTATGCATCTCAGTGAGCACATACAGCTGAATATATATTGATTATACATGTCCAAAAGTTGGGCAGGTTGAAGAGTTTTCCCTCCCTCCATCACTGGATCTCCTTGAGAACTGTTACAATATTTAACCTCCTAACAAGACAGAGGATTAAGACCGTGTGGATTTGGGAGAAGACAATTTATTGGTGTTTTCCAATTAAGCATTTTATAATGCATTAAACATTCTACATTCTTTAACTGCTCCTGAGCTGCTCTCCCAGTGCTTTATTTTCCAGTCCCTGTAACTCCCTAATTAACCGGTGCTGGAACAGTGGGATTCATCTCGCTGGGTTGGGGGGGAAACTATTGAAACGTTTGTGTTTTTAATGCTCTGGGGCACATTTCATAATTACAGTTGGATCCAGGGCAGAGCATAAATAAGTAATATCTGAGAGCCCCCCGTGCTGTTAACGAGGGAGACTTGGCTGGGAATTTGCTCGCGAAGCAGAGGCAAGAGAAATGCTTTGTGAGAACAGTTGGTGACTCCAGCAGCAAACCCAAAACCTGGGATGTGTATCAGTTCTGTGTAATGGACACGGAAAGAGATGATGTTCTGGAAAATGGGTGTTTAGAGGGACTTTCTGTTGGCACATTCGAGGGTGTTGTTTCGTTTTGCTGTTCTCCAGGGAATGCAGGAGTTGCCCAGAGAAGCTGTGGCTGCCCCATCCCTGGAAGTGTCCAAGGCCAGGGACACTTGGAGTGGGCTTGGAGCAACCTGGGATAGTGGAAGATGTCCCTGCCCATGGCAGGGGATGGGATGAGATGATCTTGGAGGTTCCTTCCAACCCAAACCATTCTGGGATTCGATGGTTCGTGGAGTGGTTTCTGGTGGCCCCAAGGACATGGAAATGTTGCAGCAAGTCCAGAGGAGGCCACAAAGTTGATAAGGGGGGTGGAGCATCTTCCCTATGGAGGCAGGCTGGGAGAGTTGGGAATGGAGAAGGTTGGAGAGGAGAAGGTTCTATGGAGACCTCATAGCACCTTCCAGTGTCTGAAGCTGGAAAGGGACTGTTCCTCAGGAACTGTAGTGACAGGAGAAGGGGGAACGGCTTCAGACTGAGAGAGGGGAAATGTAGGTTGGATATATGGAAGGAATTCCTGGCTGTGAGGGTGGGGAGGCCCTGGCACAGGGCCACAGAAGCTGTGGCTGCCCCTGGCTCCCTGGAAATGTCCAAGGCCAGGTTGGACAGGGCTTGGAGCAACCTGGGCTAGTGGAAGTTGTCCCTGCCTGTGGCAGGGGGTTGGAACTCGATGGGCTTTATAGTCCTTCCAACCCAAACCATCCTTTGATTCTGTGAATCAGTGAAATCTTTCTGAGCTGGGGATCTTGTGGCACATTTCCATCTTCTCCAGCTGGTTGTGACCCCATCTTGACCCTGCTGTGCTGCTGAGCTGCCTGGAGAACCCCAGAGGGAAACGGGAGGTTGGGATTTTTGGTTTCATTGCTGACATTTGGGATGATTTAGGTCAAGCCAGTCCTCCCAGCGGGCAAGGATTGCCAAACTCCAGCACTGCTGGGTTCCTGGAATATCCCAGGCACTGGCTGGGCTGCCTGTGAGGCACACAGTGTTGAAAAGCAGGAACCTGGCCCTGCATTCCAACAGCACCAGGATGCAGGATTTGATTTCCATTTCATTTAGGAGCTGCCTCCTCTGAGCACAGGGTTGTGCCTCACTTAGCTGCTGTTGGACTCCGGGAGCACCTTCTGGAGCTGGAATTCAGCACCAAGCCAGGCTTTAGTTCCCTTTATTTTGTCCCACATTATATTTGGAGCTAAGAAAATGTCAGTGGATAAAGGTTGGGCAGGACGGTGCCGTTCCAGGGTCGTTAATATTCCCTTCTAATTGGGGCCGCAGGAGAAATGATGTTCCAGCCATTGGTAACCTTTGCAAAGCTAATGAATTGCAAGCAAACTGGCCTTTGTTTCCTCCTCTCTGCTCCTCATAATTTACACATTGTGCAGTTGAGTTTCAGCCTGGTTTGAGCTGTTTTGGCAATTCCTGGTCAACTTTTTTATTCCTATTTGTGCCCCCTTGTCTTCCAAAAAATCTGTGTCTGCCCCCACACCCCCCTATAGTTGGTATTTCTCACCTTCACATACAGAAGATGTGAAAATATTTGTGGTCTTCTAAACACATGTTGCTGTTTAGAAGACCATAAATTCCCTCCTTCTTCCCAGAGAAGCTGTGGCTGCCCCTGGATCCCTGGAAGTGTCCAAGGCCAGGCTGGATGGGGCTTGGAGCAACCTGGGCTAGTGGAAGGTGTCCCTGCCCGTGGCAGGGGGTGGAATTAGATGGGCTTTAAAGTCCCTTCCAGCCCAAACCATTCCATAATTCCACGATCCAGCAGAGACTCTTCCCTGTCCCATCAGATCCCATCAAACCTCACGAGCCTCTATGAAAGATCTGAATATCAAATGTTGTAATTTGATGCCAATAAATGGGCTTTTTCCTCAGAAAAAACTTCACCAGGAGCAGTATTTCTTCCATACAGGACTCAGGCAGATGATTTTATGTGCTATATATTGTTTTTCCCAGCTGTAAGTGTTTTCCCAATGTTTTCAATAAGTGGGAATGGCCTGTTGCAATAATTCAGATCTGGAGTTATGCTGCAGATAGTTTATTTGCTCCTGGTGCTTATTAAATAATTTTTTTA